AGAGTTTTTAAAAACATATTTTTACAAATTTGGTTTTGTTCACCGCCGAGCTGAAAATGATATTGCCGAGAAAAAATCCTACGAGAGTTTACACCAGCAGAAATAGTACTTTGTTTTTTATCTATCTGTGTCACATGCTGTACAATAAAGTCCCATTACCTTGTATGATGATCTTGCAAGTTCCAAAAGTCTTTAAAAATCTTGTGTCTCATTTCTTGATTAATTTTTGTACTACACTTAAGTCCGCATGTTTTTTGGCAAGGTTCGCCTATTTTTCTTGCCTTAACTAGTTTTCCCTATCGATTTGTATGTTCTAACTCACGATCTAGACCAGTTTTAGATTTTACATCAATCCATTCTTCTTCTTTTCTTTCTCGTTTTCTACCCACTTGAACTCTAGTATTACTTTTCCTGTTCTTTTTACACTTACTTATTTGTTTCTCATTTTCCTTCGTATCATTATATGGCATTTTCTTATTATCATCTTCTGAATGTAAATAATCTAAGTCACTATCTGAGCTTGCATGAAAAGGGTTTTCAGTATCAACTTCAAGATTTTCGTTAACTGTATTCGTTGCTCTGTTTCTGAAAACAAAAGACGATGCATGTTACATTATGAATCTTTACTTGTTTAAATTAAAACAAACCTAAAGATGCTTCGATATTAGTAGATATAACTTCTTTGGTCGTATTTAGGTCCGGATTATCACAAATTCTTAAAAAAAAAAGGTATAAATAATTCATGTTTCTATACATATTAAAAATATACTAACCTCTTAAACAATGCGCCTGTCGAGAATCTGTTTCTCGCTTGTTAGCTGTCCTTACTAAATTTACCACGAATTGACCTCTCGAATACATCGTACATGTAAAATGTACCCTCTATTCAAACGTATTATTTTTGATAGCAATTTATACAGTGTACAACTTTTATACGTAAACACCGTTGGTTATGTAGGCGTACCACCGGCGTACTTTACTTAACCTCAAAATGCAAAAACTGTATGTCAACTGTATGTAGAACTGTCACGAGACAACGGCGCTTCCGTTGGGAATGCCGAGAAAGACTATATTAACTTACACAACTTCAGTATGTTGTGAACTATACATCAGCTGAACCTGAGTGGATAACAAGTTTTAATACCAGCCCATTCGGATCACATAGTGAGTACACCTTTACACCAAACTTGTGTCGTTTCCCCTTGATATATTGCCGAAATTTTAGGTGGTCTCTTCACAGTATCATAGATATCTCCAATGAGATAATAATAACATTACTGCATTAAATGACAATAAACTGCATTCATTCTATCATTGAAAAAATCAATAAACGGCTAGATTTTTCCTATTTGTGTTCGAGTGACTTGATTTTGACAAGGCTGTATTTTGTCTCCTCTAATCTTCTTCAATCTGTACTATGAAAGAATATTTATTGAAGCTTTGCACGAAACTGAAAAAGTATTCTACTAAATGGTTACCGGCTAAACAACATTAAATATGCTGAACAACTTAAAAGACCTACAAGTTCTTATAAACAAAATCACGTATTACAGTCAACAATATGTTCTAAATATAAACGTTAAGAAGACAATGCTTATGAAAATTAGCAAGAAAAGGATAACAGAAGGTCAATTCTACGTCAACCAATTTCCTGTAAAACGAGTGACGCACTACAACTACATCGACACCATAATAAATGTAGAATGGACCAACAACCAAGAGATTAGAGCACCCATCGGAAAAACTAGATTCACCTTCAATCGGATAGGGACCTTCTTCAAGAGTCACAACCTCTCTCTTGATATAAAAGTAAGAATTCTGCAATTCTACGTCTTCTCTGTTTTTTTTATGGTGTGAAATCATGGACCTTGAACGAAGATATGTGCAAAAAACTGAAAGCATTTGAGATATGGCTATTTGTAAAATACTTAAGATCCCGTGGACTGACCGAGTCACAAATAAGAAGGTCCTCAGAAGAATGAATAAGAACCGAGAGGTACTGACCACCATTAAATCTCGAAAGTTACTATTCTTTGGACATATTATGCGAAATGAATCCAGATATGCTCTCCTTCAAGCCATCCTGCTAAGAAAAATATTTGGAAAACGAGGTCCAGGAATTGCCAAGCGTTTAAAATGAGAATAAATCTGTTTTGGCTCATAAAGCTTAAAAATGCAATCAAATTAAAGAGAAAGTGCTTTTTCCAATAATCGTTTACTCAATTTACTCAAAGTGTTCCCATAAGAAACAGCAAACGGAAAAATTTCTTTAATTCGTCACCAGTTATATCATTCCAAGGTTTACTCCGGCAATGTCAATTTAACACAATAATTCCACAGCGTGTTCATTTGCTTTAGTATAAAGGTCATTGTAATACTCATCAGTTGCTAACAAGTAAAAGTAATTAATTGGTTTTGTACTATTTACGTTAATAAGTAAACCTGGAATTTTATTTAAATTAAAAATAAACTTTTGGATCTTAATAAATAAACACTCAGTTGAATTTTTGATCTCTAAGACTAGAAGTATCGGCGAAGATCGAGAAGGTTTAATTCGCGAAGGTGCTGTATTTTGACAGTTATAACTACCCAGAAGTCACTAGAATTAACTTCGTCAATATAGTCTAAATCATCTTTAGCATCAGACTCTTCTAGAAGTAGCAGAAGTTCTTGATCAGATAATGGTTTTATGTGCCAAGCTTAATCACGTTTTGCATAAGAACTGCAAATAAATATCTATTTTATACTAAAACAATTCCTCGCCAGGAGCCAATGAACGCACCTGGCGCGTTTGCATTACATGCAGGTTACTAATTTATGTGATTTTAGCTTAAAATACTATTCAAAAATGCTACTATATAAAGAAATAATAAAACAATACTATAATAGTTACCTTTTTTAAAGTCCAAATAGATTTTGCAATATCCTTTCTTTAAAGCAGTCACCTGAATTACTTAAGCATACACACATTCAGAACCAACCTTCTCTCGTCAAAATGCTTAAATATCCGACATAATATATCTCGTTGCAGTCATGAAAAAGGCTTATATTATGACCAATGAACATAAGACTCTCGAAAACGCGCCAGGCGCATTGGTGGCATAAAGCAGAAATTCCCGACAACGCGCGAGTGCATTGGCAGAAAGGAATGTGTTAAAGCACTTTTAACCGCTTGAATAAGATCCTCTGCTGTCTTACACATAATAAATACCGACTTCAACAGTTAATCCGAAAATGCAAGATTAAGAACAAGAGTAAATCTGATCGCAGAAGTATATCTTGACTTTGCAATCTTAGAAAACAGACTGGTCTAACATCTTCTTCTTCTTCCTTCTAGTATGTAGGCTTTAAAGCCTATTTCTTTAATATTAGCCTACTAAATTATTTAAAGTGTCATACCATCTTTTTCTTGGTCTGTGCCAATAATTTTTCATCCATTTGGTGACTTATCTCGTGCTATTCATACTATTCTATCCTCTGCTATTCTACTGATATATTCGTTCCACTCCTGTTTTTGTTTTGTCACCTATCCATTTACGTCTTCTATATTGCATGCTTTTCTTATGTTTTCGCTTCTTTCTCTATCAAACAGAGTTATTTAAAAATTGGCAAACATGTCATAAGCATGAATCGAATATACATTAGAGACTAGTTATCGTAACAGATAAAAATCCGACATGTATCAAAGTAAGAAAACCGAAAAGCAGTATGATCCGACGAACTCCCAGAGAATTTCTATTATTAATAGATTTTTACAACCACCAGATATAATTTAATTTTTTTAATATTATATAATCCACCCCAAGACGAATGGTAAGAGTGCTTATTTGAATAAGAGCTTTATTACATAAAATAATTTCAGTTTATCACTTTTCCCAAATAAGTTTTATTTAAAAAAGGAATAAAAAAATTCTTATTTGACATGTAATAAAAAACGTGATATACTTTCGTAATAGAGAAAAAAGAGAGGATATTAAATATTTTCTCCCGTTTTTGTTCCCAATATGTGATTTTATCGAGGAGGTACAAGCAGAAAATCGTGACAAGCTCCAATAAAGAAAGGTGACTTTCCGCGCCGAAATTCTCCTTATACCAAAAAGTTTTAATGGAATAAGTCGAGCTTGACTTTATTTATTTTATTACTTTAAGCTTTTGGTATTTAGTATTACAGGCAATTAATATCAAATTTTATATAAAATGGACTTCTTCGTACTTTATAAGAGTGTTTGTGTTGTTAAGACTTTTAGTATCCTTTTAGTTTAACGGTATAGATTGTCCTCTATTTTAAAACTACTCCGACAGTATTTGGGAATGCTTATTTGAAGCAGGGCATGTAATAAATAAGTTTAAATAAAATAGATATCAATAAATGTCATCCATAATTAATTTTATTCGTTAAACAACTTTTAAAATTATCCAAAATATTTTATTAATAATTTAATTTTTTTCATTGCAAACACTTTTATTCATTATACCATTAATTTAATTATACAGTAGTTATTACTAAATATTTCTAGATCAGAATTAACATTTAATAGTAGCATACAGATTAATATTACATTTAAATGTAAACTAATGATTAAGCATAACTTTTTAAAAAGTTACCTTTTTCTATTCGTTCTTTAAAAGTTTGTCATTTTTGTGGCAAAAAAAGTGTTCGTTAACCTTTAGGCTGTAACGCCCTGTCTAGTGAACCGAAAAAAAAAATATTTTTTCTGTTCCATCCGTAAGCCTATGTGTTAGGGGTCTCCCATTTTCGGTATTCCCGGAAAGTGGCAGTTTGTATTCAGACAGGTATAAACCGTTGTTAAACGATTATTGTATTTTGTTGAGTATTTGTATTGTAGCAAAGAATATAGACGCGTCTATATTCTTTGATTGTAGTGATCGGTCCATTGGACTCGCGTGACAGACGACGAACATATTTTACGGTTGTGTTGTGTTGTGCTTAGGCGATGTTTTGTATAGAAATTTACATTTCTAAACTTAGATAGTTCATTATGAATGATGAAAAAGAACATGAAAGGTTACAAAATTTAATTGATGATGTTTTAAGTGATGAACTAAGCGATCCAGATGTAGATCCGGAAGACAGTGAGGAAAGCCTTTTAGAGGATAACGTAGAAGAGCAGTTAATTTATTGTGATTTAACTGATAATGAAAATGATATTAGTAATAATATGTTTGTTACGAGACATCGAGTACCTTGTTTTATAGCTAAGGACGGATCCAGATGACAAAAACATGTTAACAAAAAACCAAATCAATATAAGGTTGAATGTTCGAATAATTAAACTTTGAGGGTATACAAGGCAACTATCGAACACGGTGATTAATTTAATCTTGCCCAAGTACTTTCGATAAATAGATCATCTTCAGGGGCATTTCGTCAGTTGTGGCCTATCCGACATAGTAGAATGTCATAAATGTAAAATTTGGACATAACAATACAAAATACAATACACTAAGACAAACAAACACTTTAAAAGTTTTAAGGAGAAGCTACATGTTGTATAGAAGCCGGAGAGAGATTCTGTCTCCGGCTTCTATACTATGATGATCTATTGATCGAAAGTACTTGGGCAAGATTAAATTAATCACCGTGTTCGATAGTTGCCTTGTATACCCTCAAAAAAAAAACAAATGTTAAAACTCGCCAGCATAATCTTATAGCACATTTACCTGAACCAAAGGGTGATATCAAAAGGGCTAATGAATCATCTATAATATGGTCATGTTTCTTTACAAACAGTATTTTGGAAAAAAGTGCAATATAAAAATCAATTTATTGTTTCCCAAAAGTATGATTTCATACAAAATAGAATCTACAAGACTACGGATCTAACTGAAATTAAGGCTTTTATAGGGTTTTATAGGGTTTACAGTCAAAATTATCAAGATTTGTTTCGCACCAATGGCATGTCCATGGAGATTTACCGGTTGACCATGCCTGAACGAAGATTTTAATTCCTTCTTACCAAAATTCATTTTTATAGCAAGATAACTAGAGAAGTAAGAAAAAAGACTGATAAATTTGCCGCCTTTAGAGAAATTTTTGAAGAATTTGTTTTAAACCTTCCTAAACATTTTCATTCATCAGCGTACCTAACATTAGATGAAATATTAGCAGGATTTAGAGGGCACTGCACTGTTCATTAGTGAAGAGTTAAACTGGGGTTTACATCCCTAGTAAACCAAACTGGTATGGAATTAAGATTTGTGCACTAGTTGATGCTAAGTTGTACTATATTTATAAATTGGAAGTATATCTTGGCAAGCAGCCATTGGTTCCGTTTTATATAGATAATTCGAACTCATCTTTAGTCAGTCGTATCCTTGAGCCAGTTCGTAATTCTAAATAAAATATTACTATGGATATTTTTTTTACAAGTTTAGCTGTAGCGGAAAAGTTATTACAGGAATTTAAATACCATTCTAGGAACTATAAGAAAAAATAAACCTCAAATTCCTGCAGAACTAACTTCTCTGAAACGACCAGAACATAGTTCCATGTTTGGGTTTCAAGAAAAAGCTACTCTAGTTTCCTACATACCTCGTAAAACAAAAATGTAATATTATTATCCACGATGACAATATCGATAATAAGACAGGTAAACCAGAAATGATTGTGGATTATAATAAGACTAAAGGTGGGGTAGATACTATTGATCAGATGTCTGAGGCATATAATTGTGCAAGATCAACTCGACGTTGGCCTTTGGTTTTATTGTTTGAACTGATGAACCTAGCGGCAATTAACTCTTAGCCTAAACATCCAAGCTGATCCACTAGATCAAAATAAAACCCATGGAAGATGTAAAGATTGCGAAAAAAAAACGTTAAACCAGGTTTAGGTGTAAAGTTTGCAACCGATTTATCTGTCTAGAACATTCGTATGGACTGTGTGGTGACTGTTTTCATGACCATAATGTAGATGGATAATTTCAGTTTATTCTTGACGGTAGTTTAATGTTAGTATCCCTTTTTTTACTTGAAATATTACTCTGTATTAGCAGGCACGTTTTTTGTTCCTACCGTTATTTTTTTAATAAAACCGTAATTTAACCAATTAGCACTGTTTTCCAACTGCTTTTACTAGCAAGATACTAGTTAAAAAACAACCCACAAAAAGTTATTCTTAAACAAAATTTATTGTTAAAGGTTTAAACTTTTCAGTTATTTATTAAAAAATTAAAAAAATAAATTTTATTTCCAATCTCCTAAAATTTTGAATAACGCTGGGCCCATAACGGCTTCTTAATATTGTTCTGAAGCTATTTTCTTGTGGCATTGTAAATTAATTACTATTAAACTGGGAATAAGCCACAATTAAAGATAAAAATACGTTTATTGACGTTTCAATTTCCACTTCGAATTTCCGAAGTGGAAATTGAAACGTCAATAAATTATATATTATGATTAATTTTTCGGTTATAAATTTTGGTTTCGAAACACGTTACTAACAAAAGGTTAAGGTGCTCTCGATAAATCGAATACTAGTCAAATAATAGTGTATATAAAATAATAACTTTAGAGTGTATTGTTGGCTGCTCTTTCGAAAAAAAAAAGTATTTTTAATAACAAAGAATAATAATTTACAATCAGACTACATCAACTAGCGTAAGTTATTGCCGTGCATAATGATGGGCGGACCTTCCATTCGTTATATCGAAGAAATGCTTACCGTTCGGCGAAGTGCAATATCCGCTACTTTACAAAGATTAAGAGAAACTGGTTCTTACTTAAGAAGACCTGGATAGGGAAGGTCAAGGGCAACAAACCCTCTGGAAAATCGATTTTTTACACTTCAACTGCTTCTAGAGCGGATAGCTACGACTACAGTTTTGATAGGAGACTCATGAGCCGTCGCGCCTCCACCACAAAGGAGTCAAAAATGACCAGAATGGACCTGAGCGATATTTTATGGGATTTAATATGGGGAAATATCCAGAACTCTTGTTGCTTCTTTACTATGTATATTACAGGATCCAACTTGTAAATACAATACATTTAGGAAACGGCCTTCGCCGTATTCCCGTTCTCCTCCGCCAATCCTTCCGGTCCAAGGCATGCTCCTCCTCCAAACCTCTCGATTCGATCGCTCTTCTAATATTTTCATTCCATGGACGTCGAGGTCTACCTCTTTTTCTTCTTCAAGGGAGCTTCTACCTGTGAAGTTTTTGGGGCCAATTTTCATCAGGAATTCTCATTAAGCAATGAAATAAACGCACAAATTCAAATATTGACGACAAACATTACCGAAGATCTAACACCAACATGGAATACGATTATAAGTGCTGTAACAGACATCATGAAAAACAACTTAGGGTACAAACGAAATAACAAGAGGCAAAAATGGATGACAGAAGAAATACTATTACTAATGGAAGAACGAGGAAGACACAAGAATGACCAAGATGGCAGCAATATGTATGAAAACATTAACAGACAAATAAAAGCAAAAATAAGAATAGCAAAAAATGAATGGCTTAAGCAACAATGTATCGATCTAGAACATTTACAACGACAGCACGACGACCGTAATTTACATAAAAAGCTTAAGGAGACTGCTGGAATATACAGAAAACGAAGACCAACTACCATAGTTAATCAGGATAACCAGAAAGTGCTGGGTGAAAAGGAGAAAATTGATATTTGGAAAAATTATATCCAGGAGCTCTTCCATGACGAAAGACCCATGAGTGAAGTTTATACAGACGACCAGCTGACTGGCCCTTTAATCATTAAAGAGGAGATAGAAAAGGCAATATTAAATTCAAAAAACAATACGGCACCTGGACCAGATGAAATTCCGTGAAATTCCGATGATACTCAAATTACTAGATGAAAGGGAAATTTCAGCACTACACAAAATATTTAATTTAATTTATGAAACTGGCTGCTATCCTCAACAGTGGTTACGCTCTACCTTTATTGCCCTGCCCAAGAAAGTCAATGCAAAAAGATGTGATGATCACAGACTCATTAGCCTAATGAGTCACACTTTAAAGATATTCTTAAAAATACTACATCAAAGATTATACAAAAAATATGAATGGGACATCAGTGATACCCAGTTCGGGTTTAGACAAGGTTTAGGAAGCAATAGTAGCAATACAGGTGGTGGTCCAAAATTGTTACGATCAGAGGAACGATGTGTTTCTATGCTTTTTAGGTTACCAAAAAGCGTTTGATCGTGTCCAACACCACAAGTTAATGCAGATTCTCAAGAAAGTTGATATAGACCAAAAAGACATAAGATGCATTAAAAACTTGTACTGGCATCAAACGGCATAGTTAAAAGTAGACAATTATATATCCAAACCCATACATATAAGAAGAGGCGGTCGACAGGGATGTGTGCTTTCCCCTCTTTTATTTAACATTTATTCGGAAGTCATATTTCAAGAGTCTTTGGAGGATGCAGAGATGGGAATCAAGGTGAATTGGGTATTGATCAACAACATACGATATGCTGATGATGGTGTCTTAATTTGTGATAACATAGTCGATCTTCAACAACTTGTCACTATAATCGGAGAATACAATAAGCGAATGGGATTAGAGATTAATACTAAAAAGACCAAATTTATGATCATCTCCAGAAACTTAGATGCACTTGAAAACTCCACCATAACACTGAATACTTTACTACATAACTACTGAAGTCCATTGAAAGAGTAAGTAAATTTAACGAGGGATATAAACAGATTAGAAGCTTTTGAAATGTGGCTTTATCGCCGTATCCTAAAAATACCATGTACAGCGAAAATCACAAATATAGATGTCCTTAAAAGAATAAACCAAGAATGCCAACTTTTCGAAACCATCAAGAAAAGGAAAACGGCGTAGTCACATCATGCGAAATGCAAAAAACAAGTTCCTCCAACTTATAATCGAGGGTAAAATGGAAGGCAAGAGAGGAATGGGACGCAAGAAAATGTCCTGGCTCCGAAACATAAGGCAATGGACAGGGATTAACGACATACAATCTCTGATACATATTGCAAGAAATAGAGAATTAATGGAAAATGTGATCGCTAACATCCATTAGTGGATTTGCATCTGAAAAAGAAGAATTCTCATTAGGTGTCCAAACCATTTTAAACCTCTTCTTTCT